GGGTGTGGAGGCTGTATTCTGCCATCCCATTAGCCCCAGCGACGCGGTTTGACCCTTCACCACCGGGTCTGAGGCAGGAGACCCTACAATAACAACGGGGCCATCCAGGGCGAGCGCCGTCGTGGGGGGAAAATAAAACTCCCTGTTGGTAAAGGAGTCGGGTTTCTCTCCGGAGCGTCCAAGAATTTATTATAAACAACAGCAGGGAGGAAAAGCTGGTTTAGAAATGATGACAAATATTCCCCTTACAAGCGGGACGGGGCCCAGGGGTCTTCCTCCATCGTTTTTTTTTTTTTGTTATTAATTTTTTTAAGGGGGGGGGAAAGTCTTTTGGAGCTCTCCCGATTTCCCCCCTGGCGCGTGTGGCCCCCGTGGGTATTACATCAGCAGCGATGACCAAGCAAGCAGGGCAGGAAACGAGCTCCAATGGAGTGACGTGATCCCTCGAGGGAAGGCAGGCCCAGAAACAAGAAGGCATTGTTCTTTTTGCCCATGGAAAAAAAAGGAAAATAGGGATAAAAAAATAGGAGGGGGAAAAAAAAGGAAATGTGCTGGAAAGTGTCTGGGTGAAGAGGGAGGAGCTGGTGTGGCTGGAGCCCCCCAGGTCCCTTAGAAGGGGATAAGGAACGGGGATGAAGATGAGGATGGGGATCAGGGATGGAGATAAGGATGGAAATGAAGATAGGGGTGGGGATAAGGATGATGGTGATGATGGGGATGGAGACGGGGATGAGGATGGAGGTAAAGATAGGGATGGGTATAAGGATGGCAGTAGGGATAGGGATAGAAATAAGGATGGGGATGAGGATGGGGATAGAGACAGTGGTGGGAAAGAGGATGAAGATGGGGATGTGGATAGGGATGAATATAAGGCTGGAGATAAAGATGGGAATACAAATGGAGATGGGGACAAGGATGGGGATGGGGTTGCAGATGAGGATGGGGAGCCGGATTGGAATGGGAATGGAGACAGGAATGAGGATGGGGATGAGGATGGAGATGAAGATAGGGTTGAGGATGGAGATGGGAGTGGGCATGAAGATGAGGCTCAGTATGCAAATGGGGATGAAGATGGGGATAGGCTGGCGAGCTCACAGGAAGGAAAGATGCTAAGCAGAGGTTGTTGTGGAGCAGGGCTTGCCTTTGCAGAGGGCTGTGAGAAGGGAAACTGAGGCACAGAGTGCCTGGGGAGCACCCCTTCCATCCTGGTCCTTCTTGAGGGGCAGACATCAGGATGCTTTCTGGGTCGTGGTAGTCCCGAAGGAACCTTTGGGAAAGGGAAGTGTGAAAGGGCGTTGCTGGGAAGGGGAAGCACTGGCTCCAGCTGGGCTCTGGAATGCTTTTGGAAAGCAAGGCAGCCCCCACCCAGCCCTGCAGCTGTCCATCTGTCCATCTGTCTGTCCACAGCTTGCTTGGCCCTAGGCATGGGGCAGCGTTGGGAGCTAAAGGAGAGGAAGGATAACAGCACGGGGCTTGCACAGCTCCCACTTTCACCTCTCTTTTGCAGTGAAAAACACGACAGGAAATAGGGACCCTGCTCCCCAGAGTCCTGGCTGGCCACAGGGGGTGGGAGCCAGGGAGCTCGGGGAAACCCCAAGAAGCTGGGCAGGGCTGGGTGTAATTGCTTCCCAGAGGCCGAGTTGAGCAATGCCGCTGTAGGAAAATGGAGGCTTGGGATTTGCCAGCGGGAGCTGGGGGGTGGGGGGAAGGGGAGGAGAAGGGAGGATTTTCCATCCGCAGCTTAGAATTAAAAAAACGTGGCGGTGACCGAAGCGAAACTTCCTCTCCCCTGCTGTGCCCCCCCCCCCCGAGGGCAGGGCTGTCTGCTTCGAGGGGGGAGGCCCCCCCTCTATCCGCAAACCGCATCCCCGAGCCCTGTCCCCACCCTCAGGGCTGTCCCTCATCCTCCTGGCAGGTCTCCCCGACTTGGTGCCGGACCCCAACTATGTGCAAGCGTCCACCTACGTGCAACGAGCTCACCTGTACTCACTGCGCTGCGCGGCCGAGGCGAAGTGTCTGGCCACGCAGGCGGC